CTTCAGATTTTAAAGCACAAAAGAAACTATTTAAATATTTAGCATTTAGTTGTGCTAAGTCACGTTCTTCTATAGTCCAATATGCAAAAGGTGTTTCTACCCTAACTCCATCAACTAATCTAGTTGGTTTTGTATAACCTTCATAGACTAAGATCCACATACGATAATCAAGTGAATGTAAGAAAGTAGACATGCATGTTTTCCAAAAATCAAAAGGTATATTGTTAAATAGTGGAGGTCTAGTAATAGAGTAATCCTCAGGTGTATTTCAGTTTCCAAATGTAGCCATCTACGTTAATAAAAAAATAGTTTAAACTTATGATTTTGAAACAAAGCTTTGATACCACTTGTTGAGTCTAGTGAATAGATTGTTAAACCTAAGTTAATGTTCCAAAGCTACCAAGAGGGGGGGGGGTGAATTAGCATTTAAAAATTTTCCCTCTTTTAATAAATTGAATCGAAATTAAACTTTAATGAATTTTTATAAAAAGTTTTCTAATCATAATTTTTAAAACACAAAATTAAATGCAGAAAATAAAAAGACACACGATTTATAATGGTTCGGTCTAAACCAGACCTACATCCACTCCCCAGAGTCACCCTCTAAGTATTGCATTAATACCAATAGTGTATCTTCTTTTGCACCCACAGCAGGGCGGAGAAGCCTTTACAAACACTCTTTTCACCACTACCCGGTGCGGCAGAGAACCATCGTCCTTTTACACTTTCCCTAGTGTTGGCAGAGAACCGTCGTCCTTTCACACTCTCCTAGTGTGGGCAGAGAACCCTTCGTCCTTTCACACTCTCCTAGTGTCGGCAGAGAACCGGATCTCCTTGACAGATCTCTTCGCAAGAAATCTAGAAGGAAGAAAGAAAAAGAGTGAAGTAATCTCAAATCACAAGTAGGAAATCTTACCTTTGAACACCATGCAAAGTCTTCTCGCTCCAGTGGTAGAAATCATTCTTTGAATGCTTTCTCTCACTCTCTCCTTTACTCTTCTTCCAATAGGCACGAAGATCAATGAGTAAAAAAATTAGGTCACAGTCTAATTTGAACTTTATATACAAAAGACAAGAAAAACTGTCCAAAAACTGCAAGTTTTCAATTATGTACGCAGTGGATCGTCCCCGTACGATCGTGGATCGTCCTGGACGATTTTACTTAAAGTGTCGGAAATGATCATAATGTATATTGGTACAAACTATGTTCGTACACGCTCATCGTCCTGTACGAACTATGTTCGTCCGGTACGAAACGATTATTACATAGGTCGGTTCCCAAAATTCTACAGGGCGTAACCAACTGAAGTAAGTCGGTTCTGTTCGTTCTGGGATGAACAGGTTTCGTCCTGGGACGATGTTATACAGAGAGTTTCGTCCAGGGACGAAAATTTATTTCGTCCTGTACGATTTCATACAGAGAGTTTCGTCCAGGGACGAAAATTTATTTCGTCATGTACGATCTCATACAGAGAGTTTCGTCCCGGTACGAACCATCTTTTTCGTCTGGACGAACAGTGCAAGGTGAGAATCCAGAGACGTTCGTCCCGGGACGAATATTAAATTCGTCCTAGACGATTAGGACTTAGAAAATTTTCTACCCGCCTGTTCCATCCATTGCTCTTCTGAGGATTAATTTACATGATCGTCCCGTACGATCAGTTCACAAACATTGTCCTCCAAGAGTGTGTTGTGATTTTTCACTCAATTACAATCACTCCCTCTCATTTCAAAACTTATAATTTACCAATGAATAATTTGAAGTCTTCAACGCTTGGAGTTGATTTTCCTGAAATGTTAGTTCACACTAGAGCAAAAATAAATCTTCCAAAAAGTGTTAGGAGATATATATAACAATAATATTTGAAATCATCAAAATAACACAAGTTGCAAGAATGTAAAACATACAAATAGTAACTCTCTCTACAGTGACGTGGCGTATGTGTTTGGAATCCGAATGCGTTCGGATTCCGCACAATAATTTCTCCTAAAGGAGACTAAAATAACTATGAAAATCAACTTTTCAAATTTCAAACCCTAAACATTTTAGTTTGCTGCCATTTTAAAAGTGAACTGATGGGAAAACGATAGACCTTTTATGATGTCCTAATGCAACCCTAATAGTTTCTCTTGCATGCGAGGCAAAATGTAACTGATTTCATTGGCTGGAAGGGCTATTTGAAAGCCTGGGGGGCGCCTTCAGTGCCAGCCCATTTTCACGTGTCATCGACGGAGCCTCGGAGAGGACAGCGGGAACTTCTTCTTCTTCGCCTACTTTCTGTTCTTCCCTTGCTCAGTAATTCCCTTGGCGCTCGATCCTCTCCGCCATGAACACGAGGAGGCGAACCTTGCTCAAGGTCATCGTTCTAGGGGACAGCGGGTGAGGTTTTGGTTCTTTTTTTCTCCATCCTTGGACTTGCATCCAATTCTCGATTCGGATCGCCATACTTCCTGCTTTGTTGGGGTTTTCTTTTCCTTTAGGACTACCTCATTTTTCTTTATTTGCTTCGTTTACGCCGTCCCCTAATTGTTATGTTCTTTTTCAATCTCCAGAGTGGGGAAGACGTCGCTGATGAATCAGTATCCTTGCGCCATTTTGTTTGCATGATCGTTTTAGTATAGTAGGGCTGCCATATTGCCATCATTTTAATGGGCGTTGGATGCTCTAGGATTTTAAATTTTTTATCCTATTATGATCTGGTTCGAGTATCTGATGTTCTGGTTCCTTCTAGGGTTTTTCTTACCCTGCAAATCGTGCGAAATTGCTGAATTACTTTTTGTTTTGTTGTATTAATAATATTTTTGAAGTTAGAAAAAATTAACGCTTTGATTAATTTAATTATTTAGAGGTGCTGTAATGGCAAGCTTCAAAAACTTTCCTCGTACTTGTAATTACAGACGACTTTGTTGGGAATTATGTATCCCGGAGTTTATTTGAATTAAGAAATTTGGCATCGGGTCAGCTTCTTCGATGGCTTTATTGCTTTCATCAAAGAGTGCTTGTTAGCTTTCATGTGCTGTTGCATAGCGAGCATCCAAATTACGGTGCTCGTCTAAGGGAACCGCTGAAGGCATGCTTTGCTTTTTGTATCCTCTAGATGTATAGGAGATTTCTCTATTTGTGTCTTCTCTTGTTTCTTTGACCAGTCAATTAGATATGTACACAAGAAATTCACTCAACAGTACAAAGCTACGATAGGTGCTGATTTTGTCACCAAAGAGATTCAGATTGATGAAAGACTTGTAACTTTACAAGTAAGAATTCTACTTTTCTAAATGTGATGCTGTATAAATAAACTTAAACTTTAACCTTTTTCTATGTCATTTTTTGCTAGATATGGGACACAGCGGGTCAAGAAAGATTTCAGAGTCTTGGTGTTGCATTCTACAGAGGAGCTGATTGCTGCATCCTAGTTTATGACGTTAATGTTCTTAGGTCATTTGATACTCTTGATAATTGGCACGATGAGTTTCTTAAGCAGGTTTGTGAATTGAGTTTGCTTATCTACTCCTTGTGTTCTTCTTCCTCACGCCCTTTTTTGATTAAATACTATAATATACTGTACTTGGCAATATTAGTTTATACGTTTTTTCCATGATAGTGAGAATATTGTTGAATTCTATTATACTAATGTTTTCCTTGACTTCTTGAATTTATCCTGTGCTATTATTTTTGCTTTTATCAGAGTCAGGGGAACTTTTTGAGATGCATTTTAACTGTATCCTTACAACTTTTTATGTCCATGCTGTTAGACATTTTGGATGAAAGGGAACCTTCTAAAATAAAATCCCATTGTGGGATAATTTAGAAGATGAGCTAACTCAATGGGAGGTTAACTTCTTCATTGCCTGCATTATACTGACAGGGACCCTGTTTAATCACTTACCAGATCTTTTTTTTTGCTCTTTTTTAATGCTGAATGATTAGAAAGGCTCAATTTTTCATGTATAATGATGCACGATCAAGTTCTTAAGTCATATTTTAGGGTTCACATACTCATAGCGATGCTTAAAACAATTAAAATATTGGGCTTAGACTATCAAGAACTAGTTATATGGTATGCTAAGTTGATTGGTATGAAAATAGACCAAACATTGATGATAGAAGATCAAATAATTCTCAAATATACAAAGTTTTAATACTTTTATTTATTATACATTAAGCTGGAGTTATTGACATGTATATAACTAGGTCTAAAATTAGATGGTTAAAGTAAGAGGAGCCATTAGAATGCTTGTGGTTGGATCATTTTGATGCCAGTTGAAGCTTGAATTATATTTAGTACTTGTCAATCCAACTATGTTATATGCCTTTGAGGCTTTGAATAATTGGCAACAAATAAGTTATAGACGAGTTTCTTGAGTATTTTTGAGGATTCTTGAAAAAAAGAAGAAGAGTTTTAGAAGGTGAATTTGGTAATAGTTTGAAATACAAATATGAAAGTGCAAAATGGCTATTGGATAAAAAAGTTCAGGTTAAAGTGAAAATGGTTGAAGTTGTAAAGTATAAGAGTGGATCTAAACTTCAATAAATGATGAAGCATTGAAGAAGCTGACTCAGTTGAATCACAATTGGTGACTTTGGTAATGATGAGGATGATTTTTTGGTGAATTACATATTGTACGATAACATCATATTAATTGATTTCAGTTATGTTTTACTAGTATAATGCCAAGTAGCTGGTAGCATTTGCATGTTGATATAGTTATTGTATTGACAATCAATTAATGGTTCTTGCTTAATGTAGCATTCTTAGTTGATCAAATTTCTTGGACATCATTTTATAACTATGGTTGTAGGTGTTAAGTTTGGGCGATCAAGTCATTAAATAGAGTACATATTTTAGATATCTTGGGTATATTATTTAAAGTGATGGTGAAATAGATGGGGGATAATATTAGTAGATTTTAAGTTGGATGGTTGTAGTTGAGGAACACATTGGGTCTGTTTAGTGACAAAAAGTACCCCCAAACTTAAGGACAAATTCTATAAGAGGGTGGTGAGACCTGCAATGCTTTATGTCATAGAATGTTGGCCATTAAAAGAGAAGCATATAATTAAGTTAAGTGTTGTAGAGATGAGAATGCTTAGGTAGATGAGTGGCTTCACTATTAGAGATAGAATGCGAAATGAGTATATATGTGAAAAAGTTGGAGTAACTTCAGTCACAGATAAGATTAGAGAGTCGGCTTAGATGATTTGTTCATATATAACGTCAGACTCGATTAGAATAGTAGATGTATTAGATTTGGCCTATTTTAAGAAAGATACAGGTAGACCTAAAAAGACTTGGTTAGAAAGTATTAAAAATGATATATTTTAATTAGATTTAAATGAGAATGACTCTTAACATGACACAATGGATAAAAATGATTCATGTAGCTCACCCCACATAGTGGGATAAAGGTTTGATGTTGTTGTTATTATTGTTCTTGGTTGTAGGGGTCAAGTGACAAACTAAGCTCCTTAATGGCACTCATCCTCAATCAGTTAAAAATGAATAAACTAAAAAAAATTAGTTGGACATCTGACTTTTAGAGATTGAGCTTTAGAATTTGCATATAGTAATGCAATATAACACACTATGTGTTTTTGGTAATGCCTTATGTGTTTTTGGTAATGCCTTAGAGAAGCTTTTGTTGACGGAAACAAGAAGCATAAATCATGTAAATGAGGTTTTGTTGATTTTCTCACGCTTGCACTTTGATGTAATGTTTTGTTTGATATTTCGATTTATAATATCCGACAACCCAACCTAACAACCTTGGTGCACTATTTGCTTATGTTATAGTTTTGGTAGGGGAGACATTTTTTCAAGTAAAGTGATATAAGTTAGAATAATGGAGAAATTGGAAGATAACAAACTTACAAGTAGTCGGACAAGTACTAAATACATGATATGTAATTATTTATCATGAAATTGATACTTATTAGTCAATATTAATGTTGGAAGATCCAATGTCACTAAGTTGTAGAATTTTCAAGTGGATTGGATCTATTATGCAAATTTGTGGGGAACAAGTGAGAGATTTCTAGATTTAAACTGGCTGATTAAAACAAGAAATGGCTTGGGTGTTTATACGAGAATACTATTTTAAATGCCCTTTATAATTAGTTATTTTAAAGATGTAATTTCACTTTGTTAACCCTTCTGAACATGTAGTCATGCGAAAGGAGAACATGAGTAGAGGTTTTTTAATCTTTTTTTTTTCTTTTAAACGTCAAGCTGAATTAATAATATAACATGCACGTCATGTACCACCTTATCAAATCCCAAAAGTGCCACCGCAGGAAGGACTCTTGAGGCAACTCTTGAATACCACTTGAGCGTTTTTAAATATTACTTAAATACCTTTTAAGGCCGCTCGAGTGACTTTAATTTCCATATTATAGCCATTTTAATTGCAATTTTACAGAAGTATTAGTTAAATTCTCTATTTACTAACAAATGAGGTTATGATATCCTTTACTATTGTTATATATTTTTGTTCTGCATAGTCTTTTGATCCTAAGAATTACTAGTCCCTTCTTCACATGTACACCTTTATTCTAGCTTCATTTAATGTCCATCATTATTGTTGTTTGCTTCCGAGGTTTTTTTTTTTTCTGAAGAAAAGTATAGATGTAGGCTTCTGTTTTGGTTCCAAATATTGCCTCTTGGGATTCCACTGCAAAATAGACTGATAGTTTCATCTTTAAATTCCATGCTTAATGAGCTTTGTTGTAAATTTTACTTCCTGCATCTATGTTGTATGGAGAATATTGGTACCCCAATTTGTGATCACGTCATTTAACCTTTAAAATCAGTGGTGCTATAATTTTCAATTTCTCAAAATTTTGAATTCGGAATTTTCCCAAGTCTAATTAATTTTGTGAGTAATTTTTTTGTAAAAGTATTTATGGTGGCTATGGGATGGAGCGACTAATGAAATTGGTAGAGCCATATCAGATTTTGTAATTGCTAATACATTATTTAAGAAAAGAGAGGAACATCTCATCACTTGTAGGAATTGATATAATAAAACTCAGATGGATTATTTTCTTATAAGAAAAATAAATCTTTTAGTGATAAAGATTGCAAGTCATTAAGAGTAAAATTCTATGTAACCAACATCATTCATTAGTTTTGGAGTTTAAGATGAATGGGCAGAATATAAACAATGAAGTAAAATTTTGTTTTAGGATTAGAAGGGAATTTAAAGAATGTTTAAAAAAAAAGAGAAAAGGATCAAAATGTCCCTCAACTCATTGTGAGGGATCAAAATAGTCTCCAACTCTTTTGAGGGAACAATTTGGTCTCTCAACTCCTTAAAAAATGGGCTTATTTGGTCCTAACATCAAATTTTGGGGTTAATGGTGTTATCAAGAGGTATTTTGAACATTTTTTTAAATTAAATTATTTATTAAATGTAATTTTCAACTAATAATATTTGTTTTCTTAAATTATTAAGTATTTCTTTAGTAAAAAATATTAATAATTCTAGTATATAATGATCCTAAATTAAAACTAGAATTATTAAAATTTTTTGAAATTAAAGTTATAATTATTAATATTTTTTATTAAATAAATATTTAATAAAAGTTTTTTTATAAAAATTAATATTATTTGAAAATTATATTTACTAAATAATTTAATTGAAAATGACTAAAATACCCCTTTATTTAACATCATAACCTCAAAATTTGATATTAGGACAAAAAAGGTTCCTTTTTAAGGAGTTGAAGGACCAAATTGATCTGTCATAAGAGTTGATGACTATTTTGGTTCCTCATAATGAGTTGAGAGACCATTTTGGTCATTTTCTCAAAAAAATTTTTTTTTTGAAAGTAAAATTCAAGATCTCAAAGTTTTGATTGTGCATGAGAAAGTAATGTTACATGACAAAAAGTAGTTACTAATATTAACAATATTACTAATAATGTGTTTGGAGTAATCAAAAGGAAAAATTCTTAGTAGTAAAAATAGTTGGTGGTGGAATCAAAATGTGTAATAAAAGATACAAAATAAGGATTTTTGTTATAAACATTAATTTAGATTTAAAAACTTAAAAACTTGGAAAATATATAGAGGTGCTTGTAAAGAGTCTAAGATATTAATATGAGAGACAAGGAAGCTTTTAATGATTTATATAATATATATATATATATATATATATATATATATATGCAAATCAAATTGGTAGGATGAAGATCATAAATTGTTTTTATTATAAAAAGATATTCAACTTAGGTGGATGTGATATTTCGATAAGCTTTTCAATGAAGATTGTGAGAATACGATTAACATTAATGATCTTAACACTCTAAATGAAATGGATATTTTTGTTTTTATCATCGTATTAATTAAAAGAGGCTTTAATAAAATAAAGTATGAAAAAATAGTTGAACCTAATGACATTCTAATAGAGATGTGTAAATGCCTAGGAGATGAGGGAATTTATTGACTTACTAAACTTTTTAATATTATCTTGAAAACTAAAAAAATCTAGATGAGTGGAGGAGTGTGTTAATTCTTATTTTTAAGAATAAAGGTGATGAACAATAGTGTGAGAATTATAGATGAATTAAGTTAATGTGTCATACATTAAAACTATGGGATAGAGTAATTGAGCATATGTTACGATGTGATATCTAATGTTTCTCAAAATCAATTTGGATTCATGCCAGGTAGGTTTACTATGGAAGCTATACATTTATTGAGATGTTTGATGGAGAATTATAGAGAGAATAAAGAGGATCTATATATGATATTTATTGATTTAGAATAAGCTTATGATAAAATTCTAAGAGAAGTGCTATCGAGAGTTCTTGAAAATGAAGGAGTTGATAAAGCTTATATTTTAGTCATTAAGAATAAGTATGCTGGAGCTGTTACTTGGTGTTCAAACACAACATGGTTTGACCAAATATTATCCTATTTTAATTGGATTAGATTAAGGACCAGCTTTAAGCACTTATCTTTTTGCTTTAGTCATGGATGTTCTTACAAGACGTTTGCAAGAGGATGTACCGCATTATACACTTTTTGTTGATGATATTCTTCTTGTTGATAAGGTTAGAAAGGGAGTTAAGAGAAAATTTGAATTATGGATGTCAATCTTAGAGTCTAAAGGTTTTTATTTTAGCTGACCTAAAATCGAATACATGGAGTGTAATTTTAATAGTAATAAATCTAGTGGAGGATTGTGACTTTGGCGATCAACTCATTAAAAAGTGTACATATTATAGATTACTCAGGTATATTATTCAAAATAATGTTGAAATGTATGGGGATATTATTAGTACATTTCTAGTTGGATGGTTGAAGTTGAGGAATGCATTGGGCCTGTTGTGTGATAGTAATGTACCCCTCAAACTTAAGGAATAAATCTATAAGATGGTGGTGAGACTTATAGTGCTTTATGGCGTAGAATGTAGACCATTAAAAGATAAGCATAAAACTAAGTGTTGTAGAGATATGAAGATGCTCGGGTGGATGAGTGGCTTTACTCTTAGAGACAATGCCAAACAAATATATACTTGAAAAGGTTGGAGTAGCTTCAGTGGTAGATAAAATTATAGAGACTCCATAGATGGTTTGGTCACATAAAAATTCGGTCTTCTGATGACTCGGTTAAGAGAGCAAAAATGTATTAGATTTGGCTTATGTTAAGAAATGTAGAGGCAGATATAAAAAATATTTGGTTAAAAAATAGTAGAAATGATATTTTTTATTAGATTTAAATAAGAATTTGACTCTTAATGTGACATAATGAAGAAAAGAAATTCACCCACACAGGGGGATATAGGCTTGATGTTGTTCTTATTGTTGTTATAGTAATTTTCTGGCGAAAGAAATTATTAGTGTTTGAAAATTTTGGATCCATTGATGATTCTTATAGCGTCCACCAGTCCAGAACACTCCTACCAGCTCATTTTTTTTCCTTCTCCTTTCATGTTAGCTCAAACTACATGCATTATCATTTTTATAGTGTGTCGTAGCAGTATGTTTTATGTTGCTACGTATATTTATATCATGATTACTAATTGCTATCAGCTATCTTTCTCATTGTATTCCAGGCTAGTCCTTCTGATCCTGGTACATTTCCATTTATTCTTGTCGGAAACAAGGTTGATGTTGATGGAGGGAACAGCAGGGTGGTAAGGATCTGGAATTTCTTCTGCTGTTACTAATATTATCTTTTTAATTCTTTGAGCTCATCTAGGTTTCTGAGAAGAAAGCAAAAGAATGGTGTGCTTCCCGTGGGAATATACCTTACTTTGAAACTTCTGCGAAGGAAGATTTCAATGTTGATTCAGCTTTTCTTCAAATTGCAAAAATGGCACTGGAGAAAAACCGTGATCATGATATGTAAGCATTCCTCTAATTTTAATCATTATGTTGTCTTGGGCTAGACTTATGCTATCTCTGCATCTCTAAGTTTCTAATGCTATATTCTCTGTTTTTATTTAACCTTCCAAGCACGCTCTCAAACAAAAATTTCCAGTTATAGATATGGTTGGTCCTTACCAGGGAATTGAAAGTAAAATAAACTTGCATATCTCTTAATTAAAACGTAAGGTTACAGTGCATATTTATATTGTAGACTGGTGAATTTGAAGCAATTAAAGCAATGTAATCTTATCTTTTTTTTTTTTTAAACTTGAATCAAAATTAAATGCAATCTTATCCATGTAAGATAGTAGTTTGATACCATCACGTTATGATAACAAGCTCTTCAGGGTCATTGAAGGCTAAGGGGATGAAGACAAAGATGCCATTAGCTATTATTGAAAACATTAAAATGAGTAACAATAGCTCAATGTGGAAGTCTTCTTAGAGCATGAATGAACTTTTCCTTAGGGATTGGCTTAATGCTGGCAATTCATATATTACGGATGTTTTTTTAGAATGAATTTTCTCTGGCATTCGTGATGGAAATACGTTTCTCATAATATGCACTCATCAAAATAATATATGTGAGCTGCAAATCATGGACTTGTTGTTAGGACTAATCATGGTCATTGGCCCGTATCCCAATTATCTATGATTAACTATGAATGCTCATTCGGCATTCATTCTCTTTACCTTTCATTTTTAGGGTCCAAATTGTGCTACATAATTGGGCTGTAGGGCTCAAGTATTGTCTGATATTCATTAAATAGGCTCTTTATTGACGGTAGATTTGCTGCAGAAATAAATCTACTAGCAAGCGAAATTGGATTGAATTACAATAGGCAACATCGTAACAATTGATAATATAAAGTGGAACAGTGTTGATGTGCATGCCTCGAAGTTAAGTGTCTTGTAATGCAAGGCGTCACATCACGTATGATGTTTGGGCTTACTGAGGAAAGCAATTGACTGTAACAGTTCAAGGAAAACATAGACCGTATTGTTCCTATTAACATACTTCTAATCAACGTTTTAAAAGCCGAAATCGGGAACCGAGGCGTTTTGGCTAAGCGAGGCGAGGCGTAAGCCTCGAGGTGGATTGAGGCGTAAGCTTAAAAAATAATAAAAATTAAGTAATTTAAAATTAAGAATAACGAAAAAAAATATAAAATATTATGTCAATTGTGAATTTGATGATTTGTTATAAGATAATATTAGTATATTACTGGAAAAGAAGATTTAAAATAAACTCACTTAAAAATAAAACATCCCTTTGGGATCAAGACCCAATGCAGACTTATCATCACTTTGATTGTCTTCAGAAGAATCTTCATAATTAATGTCAAAGTCATCTTTAAACTCTTCTTCATCTATAATATTTTTTCCTTTATCCCCTATATCAGTTAATATTTTATTAGCTCTAGAAAGAAACAATAATAGCATAAACAAATAATTCATAAAAAAGAATACCTTTGAATTTTTTTGAAGCTCCAATCTCATTTATTTCTTTCTTTTATATACATGAGTAGTTGCTTCATTGTCTTCATTGACAGGAGTTTCTGCTTCTGCTTCAACTTCAGAAACATCAACATTCTTAGGAGTAACCCATTCATCATCAGATTGTAAATCATTAACAAGTAAATGATCAATTTCATTATCAATGCTTCATTACTTATGTAATTTGAGATGTCTATCTTTCAGTTTTTTGTTAAACATAACATAAAATAGTTTGCTTATTCGATATGTCGCCAATTGATTTATTCTCTTAGTATGAATTTGATTGAAGATGCTCCAATTACGCTCGCATGCAGAAGCCAAACATGTTAGGCTAAGCACTTTAACTACAAAAGCTTTCAATTCAGGAACATCATCTCCAAACTGACTCCACCAACGTTCTACATGAAAATGAATAGTATTTTATGAATATTGATTGAAGTAGAAGATTTGAACATAAATATTAAAATTAAAATTATAAATATACAAATTATAAATATACTAGGAGATCGTATTTTGTAGCATGCTTGTGCTGCTCTAAATCCAAACATTCTCTTTTTCAATTGAAATTCCTTAAGTTGATCATTCACTTTGAGGTAGTCTTCTTTAGAAATTAGTCTGTCCATACATGCATATAAACCAGTTTTCACCTCTTTATCAACATGAAAGTCTTTATCATAATAAAATTGATGGTTTAAATAGTATGCAGCAGCATGTAAGTGTTGGTGTAATTGACGATCCCACTTTTCATCTATAATATCCCATATTTCTTTGTAGGCACTTTCTTGACCTCCCAAATCTTTTGAAATGTCTTCTTTAGCCCTATTCATTGCTTCATAAATAAATCCCATAGCCAGGGCCCTCTCACCATCAACCATTCTAAGCACCTTAACTAATGGTGTTGTTGTCTTCAAAGCATAATTTTTATTGCGCCAAAATGAATTATCTTTCATAACAATTTTTTTAACCTATTTTTCTTCTTGTTTTTTTTTGCCAATGAACTTTTATCCTATTTTTCAGAAGCAAACATAGCTTCCAAAGGTTGCCTTAACTCCTTGAATCTCTGCAATGTTAAATATACAGTAGCAAATCTCGTAACAGTAGGTCTAATAATTTTCTTGACAGTGAATTTTCTTATATTAAATTGAGTACCCAATAATCATTGTATATGAATTTACTAACAAATTTGGTCTTCAATAGGGCTGATTTATGCTGAGGCAACTGTCCCAACCTCTCAAGCATTAAATCAATGCAATGTGAAGCACAATGAGTCCAGTAAAGGTGAAGCCTCTTCTCCATTAACATTCTCCCTGTAGCTTTATATGCACCTGCATTATCAATAGCAACTACTACTAAAGCATCACCCACTTTCTCAACAACTTCATCCAACATTTCAAACAATAATTGTGCATCTTTTATAAAACTTGAAACATCCACTGATTTTAGAAAAACTGTTCCATATGGATTGTTGACCAAGAAATTAATAATACTTCTATGTCGAATATCTGACCAACTATCTGACATTATTGTGATTCTTGTCTCAATCAAAATCTTCTTAACATCATCCACCATTTTTGAAGTTGTCTTGACCTCCTCATTCAGCATCCAAATCCTCAGTTCATACATGCTTGGAAGTTGTAGTCCTCTTCCATAGCTTCCAACAGATCGTAACATATTGATCAATGACGGACTCCTAACAACATTAAATGGAATCCCATTTTCATAGATGAATCTAGCGATATCCAAACAAACTCTGTTCCTGAGTTCTTTTGTAGCAGTAGGAGGCTGAAGATCCTGAGTGTTTATGTTATCATCGTCATCAATATTTATCATAAATCTATCCATGGGATCTCGAGTACCTCGGTTAGAAGAAACTAGATGGCTTCCACTACTGGAACCTTCATGCTGTGATCCATATAAGAAGAGTTTCTTATCATCTCTTCCATATTTCTTTGTGTGACCTCTTTTATGGTGGCAAACTTCTTTAAATAATATGTACATTCCTTTTTCACCTCATCAGGTACTTTTGGCAAACTTCTCCAACCTCTTGACGCCATCAGTTATGTGTTTCTCACAGAAATTACGTTTCATGTAAACATATCCCTTCTTTGCACCTTCGCCTGACACTTCAACTTGAGTTCTATATTTTCATGCAGGATCTTTCTTTCTTGTGCCACTAGTCATGTTAATAATTTATAGAAATAAATAATCGACATCAAATTATTGATATATACAAGATTTTTATTTATTCACAGGCAAAGAAATCACAACACAAAATCAACAATAGGAAATATATTAACAATTATTTGTACCACCAAAATAAGACAACATGAATACAATAATATATCGGTCTGCCGGGGGTCCAAGGGGGCGGTGCCCCCTGGCAGGGTTCGACCTGCTGGGGTTTTCGGGGGCAGCGCCCCTGGAACAAAATTTTATTGTAAGAGTAATTTTGAAATTCGGCTAGTTTTTAAAGTTCGTAAGTTGTTTGTATGGAAAGATACCGAGCGGTACTGAGCATGTACCTAACGGTACCGAGCATGTATCTAACGGTACCGAGCATATAACGCTCGGTACCGAGCGGTACTGGCTCGGTACCAAGCATGTACCGCTCAGTTCCGAGCATATACTTGCTCGGTACCGAGCGGTACTAGCTCGGTAGCGAGCATGTACTGAGCGGTACCGAGCATGTACTGAGTGGTACCGAGCATGTACCTGCTTGGTGCCGAGCATGTACTTGCTCGGTTCCGAGCATGTACTGAGCAGACTAATGAAAGAAAGCCGAATCAGTTATTCAAGCTTTCATTACTGCACGTCAAAGTCAAGGCCCACAACACCGCTTACCTACTCTTCTAACCTAACCGAGGAATGAACGTTTCCTGCACTCACAACTTCGGCTTCGTTTCCAGCTTTCGAAACTGTTATTGTTTTTGGCTTCGTTTCCTGCGTCGTCTCCTTCCGACTTCGTCTCCTGCACTCACGGCTTCGTCTTCTTCCCTCACGGCTTCGTCTCTTTCCCTCACGGCTTCATCTTTAACATGGTTTAAAATTGCGCAATATGAGGCTCGCCTTGAGGCCCGCTTTTGTGCAATTCCAGTAAAAAACGCTTCGATGCTTACGCCTCGAGTTTTTGTTATGAGGCTTGCGCCTCAACTTGGTTGAGGCCCGCCTTAAGGCCCGCCTCGCCTCACTGGCATGAGGCTTACGCCTCATGCTATATATATTAAAACTTACATAAATCTTGAAGTAAATGCCCGACATTGGACTCTATAGGAGAGGAGGAAGGGGAGAGAGCAGTTCATCATAATGATGATTCAAATAAAGAACCCCTTAGTGATGACAGTGCTGATGATTTATGAGTTCTTATGTGATATGTCATTGCTATTTATTTTTAGAAATTGGAATTATATGTTAATGAAAAGAATACTGGGATTTGGGAAAGATAGAATTTTGAGTTGAACTATATTTCATGTTATCTTATT